CTTCTCCCTCTACACTATTTCACTTGGTGATCTCATTAGCTCTCATGGATTTAATTACCATTTCTATGCTGGTGATTCTCAAATCTGCCTCTTCCGCCCTGATCTCTCTGCTGACCTCCAATTTTGAATCTCCAAATGCCTTTCAGAGAGCTTAAAGTGGATGTTCAGTAGACATTTTAATTTCAATATGTTCACAACAGATCTTTCCTCATAAACTCATCCCTCCTTCTACCTTCCCTGCTACTGTAGAAAGCAACATCATCCTCCCAGTCCTCGGGCTCACAACCTAGGAATCATCCCGGATTTCTCACCCTCCATGTCCAAGCTGTTGCCATGGCCTTTACAACATCTCTTGATTACACCCCCTTTAGCTCTTCTGACATTGCCACAACTCTAGAGCAAGCCCTCGTCTCCTCATACCTGGATTGTTTCACTAGCCTGCCGGGGGGTATATCTGCCTATCTCTCCCCATTCCAATCCGTCCTCATTCAAGTGATTTTCCTAAAGCACAGGTCCCATCATGTCACCTTTCCTACTCAATAAACTAGCTCTTACCTTCAGGATCGAATACAAAATGCTTTGTTTGGCACTGGGGTATACCCATGCATATAGGATGGGATATGGATGATAGCCCAATGACGGCGACAGACGAGTGGTCGTTCAGGTGGAAGGAGAATCAATACACAGCAGCATCACGAATACCCATTGAGGATGGGCTAAGAAGAGTGGGTGTTCAACAGTGTCAAACACTGCAGAGAGATCATAAGGTTCTTGAGGGGGTTGGGTGGTGCAATTGATAGAAGGCTGAACTTAGAGTCAAGAAGACCTGAATTCAAATCTCATCTTAGACATTTAATATCTGTGTGACCTTTGTCCTGGAAGGACAATCTTGACTACATACTCAGGATAAGAACCTGTTAGCATTCACTTACATAGTTACATAATGATGTAAGCCGGGAGCACATATATTCCAAATATTCTCGACTCCTGGCATGCAGCCGAAGCAAGGAAGTCAAGGTTAAGTTTTGCAGAACACTGCTTTCAGCAATAGCCTCTGGCGGGCATTTTCAGAACCAACAAGAATTTGTTATTTCAAAATTTTGCCTCTGACCTAAGTGTTTCCTAATGTTGTGTGTATTCCTGAAGAGTTTTGCTGACATCGAACCATGACGATTTGAGGGGTCAGTCATCATAAGCATAGTGGCTCAGAAGCCCTTCTTTATATATCATCGTTTATTGTTGTTCAGTTGTATTTGACTCTACATGACCCTTTTAGGGTTTTCTTGGCAAAGATACTAGAGTGGTTTGTCATTTCCTTCTCCAGCTCATTTTTAAGGAAACTGAGGCAAACAGGGTTAAGTAACTTGCCCAGGGTCACGTAGCTAGTAAGCGTCTGAGGCTGGATCTGAAACTGGGTCTTCCTGACTCCAGGACCCGTGATATATCCACTGTGTCATCTAGCTGCCCCTCTTTATACATCACTATTCAATAAAAGTATAAACTACAGCAGGGGGTTCCCTTTGGAGCAAAGAAAACAGACATTTGTTTCTACATTCTTGGAATTATAAGCTGTGGGTTCTAACACTGAAGAGCTTTTTAAAGGGAGAAGAATCTGGGAAGTTTAAGATACAGGCATACCTAATTTCATTGCACTTCAATTTACTGTACTTCATGGATATTGCATTTTTTGCAACTTGAAGATTTGTGGTAATCCTGTGTCAAGCAAGACTATAGCACCGTTTTTCCAATAGTGTGCACCCCCATTGGTCTCTGTGTCATATTTTGGAAATTTTTGCAATATTTCAAACTTTTTCATTATTATGATAGTGATCTGTGGTGATCTGTGATCAGTGATCAGTGATCTTTGATGTTACTATTGTCATTGTTTTGGGGCACCATGATCCGCACCTATATAAGACCTTGATAAATGCTGTGTGTATGTTTTGACTGCTCCATTCTCTCCCTCCCCTCTGAGATACAACAATATTGAAATTGGGCCAATTACTAACGCTACAATGGTCTCTTCAGTGTTCAAATGAAAGGAAGAGTCAATGTGGCAAACTACATTGTTGTTCTTATTTTAAGAAATTGCCATAGCCATCTCAACCTTTGGCAACCACCACCCTGATCAATGAGCAGCAGCCATCAACATCGAGGCAAAACCCTCCACCAGGCAAAAGATTACAACTTGCTGAAGGCTGATATGGTGGTTAGCACATTTTAGCCATTTTAAAAATTAAGTTACATGCAGTTTTTAGACATAATACTATTGCGTACTTGATAGACTAAAGTATGGTCTTTTATATGCACTGGGAAGCCAAAAAATTCATGTGACTGGTTTTATTGCAGTATTTGCTTTACTGCAGCAGTCTGGAACCAAACCCACAATAGCTCTGAGGTATGCCTGTATTAGTAAATTTTACCCTAGAATCTAAAACCATAAACCACAGTGATTGAGACAGTAACACTCAATAGTAAAATCATTACAGTACACGATCATTCCAACTGTGTTAAAAGAGTCACCTTTAACAGAAATCAGAGGGTTGACAGCTTGTCAGACCTGTTCCTCCTTAGATGTTTGGGCAGGGATTAGGTTTGAATCCAATTTCATAAATGAGAAAATGGCAAATGTAGAAGCGAGGCACCTAGTCCAAGGAGTTAGTAATACCAGCCCTTGGGGGAGTGTCTAGACTCCTGGTCCTGTTCTCAATCTTCTAGACCAGTGGCTCTTTATCTTTTAAAACAGTTGAACATCAAAAGAAGGTACAGTTCTCTGAACAATAGTAATTGTATTGTCATCTGTTGACTGAGAAAATGCAGTATAGGACAAAAAAGCTTCTATGAATTTATTAGTATTTTAAACTGAATTTATATTTTGTTCATTGGAGCAACATTTACATACATTTGAAAAATAATGAATATATGAGCAAGACATTGTTCACTCTACAGAAATTATACTTGCCTTTTTATTAGTTAATGGCACTGTGCATTTGGATGCAGCTAAATAAAGTTCAACCTAATCATGCTTGTGCCCATATAGATTTACAAACTCTTAGAAATAGCTTGGCAGCTCCCCACACATCTGTAGGCTCAAAGGTTGAGAACCACTGTTCTAGGATATGTTCTAGGCTATACAAGCTATTGAACTTAAGCTCAAACCATTTGCTGGAAAACTGTACATTAAAAATATAATATGCTTTTAAACAATATCCCTGGTTACCCAAAGAACATAGGGAAAATTCTCCCTAAACCAAAACTAAACCCAAGAAAGAAAATGGGGCTTCTCCTTTATTTTTGTTTTCCATTTCTCTTTTAATGCTCTTTCTTTTTTAGTTTAACAAGTGATTTTAAGGCTCATAAACAAATCCAAATGCATTTCGGAGTCATATAAAAATAATGTAGTTATATGGTTCAAAACTTGTCTTCCTCTCCCAAGTTCATAGTGAAATGAACTCCCTCCCTGTAATTTTAACTTTTAACTTTGTTACATGCATTTATTTTTCTGTCCCTCCCACCTTATGCTCCTTTCTCTAACTGAATAATTAGAAAAATTAGAAACCTCTTATCACATTGACCATGTCCAAAACATATCAAGTTTCTTTCTGCATTTTAAGTCCATTGCCTCTCTGGCAATGGTGGGTGGCATGCTTCACCTCAGTCCTCTAGAATTGTGGTTTATCATTGCACTGATCAGTTCTAAAGTCTTTCAAAGTTTTTTTTTTTCCTTAATGTTATCATTGTATAAATCAGGCCTCTTTTCAAGTAGCACTACCTCAGGGGTGGGGAACCTGCAGCCTTGAGGCCACATGTGGCCCTCTACGTCCTTAAGTGTGGCCCTTTGACTTCAAAGGATCTAGAGGGCCACTTGTGGCTTCGAGGCAGCAGGTTCCCCACCCCTACAGGTTTTTCAGACCTTTAGAATATAACCTAACAACTTGCTGGTTTCATGTACTCACCGCATTAATGCTGCTCAGAAAGGGGAGCTTCTTACAGAGTGAAAGCCCTAGGGAATGGGACACGATAGGTAGTTCCCTACCCCTGCTCCTAAGCTTTCAGAATGGCACTGCTGTCTGCCACACAAAATGCTACTGCCACCATTTGTGTATGTCCATTCAAAGGAAGGGATTCTTAAATCTACATCTTTCATTTAGGATCTTTAATGAGATCTGTGATCTTGCTCATGTAAGCTTTCCCTCCACCAGCAGATTACTGCCGTATCTTCTTATCCTGTTCAATTTGTAGCCGTGTCTTTTTCACTAACTTCTTGATGGCGGAACCCTCTAACAGCTAGAGCCTTTACGATGATGTTTTGTGTTTGGGGAGGTCCATCAATTATCACTTACTTTTGCTTCTAATGCTTCTCTCATATTATGCCTGGCCTCAATGAAACTATACCAAGAGACTTATGACACATAAATTATGTAAGCTATACACCTCTCATTTAAATATTAAGGACAAAATAAATGTGTAACAGCCATCTGTTTTATCAATGAGAAAGCTGGTCAGGTAAAATTTTTAGTGTGTGTGGTAGACAGAGCATCTCAAAGTGGAAGAATGCTAGAGGTGGTGTTAGAAAGCCTGTGTTTGAATCCTAGGCTCAGCTACTTATCATCAGATGAATCATAACCTCTCTGGGCCTCAGTTTCTTCACCTGTAAAGGGGTTGTTTAAGATGATGTCTAAATCTTTTGTTGACAAACCTATGTTGACATTTTTAGGCCACCAAAGCAGTTGTATCAGATCAAACGAACCATTTTTGGATTTTTTTTGTACCATTTGTTTTAACACATGAGTAAAAGAGATTTTGATTCATTAATAAATGGATGTGTAAAGTGTATGCAAATATATCTATGAATTCAACTTTTATTTTGCTCTTAGCACTATACTTCATGGACAAAGAGAGAATTTTAATTAATGCACTTCTGAATTTGTGAAATTTTAGAAGGGAAGCTTTTGGGTCACCATTAGGGGAGAATGTCATTTGAATTACATCACCCCATATAAATTCGACACATGTTTTATTAGTGATTAATAACCACCAAATCATCACATCAAATAATGAAAAAGCAAACAGATTAAATATACAGCACACAAGTGCTGCTTTTCTAAATTATTTTATCAACATACTGTATCATCACAAAAGAGAATCTTAACTCCAAAGTCAAGCTTTGTGGTAATCAAGAGGAACAATTTCTTTCTGCTGTTTTCAGAGATTAGGCCTACTTTTGCCAGCAGTTCTTGCCCTGGTGTGAAGAGATGCCTGCAAAGGCAGGTTCCATATAAGCTTCCATAAGGAGTAGTAACATCCAGTGCTGGACTGGAAAGGTCACCTAGTTTTAAATCTTAATGTTGGGTTTTAATAAAATTAAATAAAGGAAAAACAAACTCAAAAGCAGATGATACACTACAAGTTAATTTTTACTGAATTTATCAAATACCTTTCCTTATTTACACACACGCTAAACGTTGTAGACGAGGAAACAGAAAACATTCACTTAATGTATATATCATACAGAGATATTGAATGTAACTAAAAACAATGGCTTGTCCCATATAGAATTTAGTTTCACATACAGAAGAGATAAAAACGTAATTATGGAGAAGTCACAGTAAGTTTTAAGGTATTCCTCAATTTGTCATACAACGTGATAAAAACAAATTCAACGTTGGAGGAAGAACAGATTAGACCTGAGGAAAGATGCATTGCTATATGAATCTGCATGATTTTTAAAAAATAAGGCTGAGGGTTTGGCCAATCAACACAAGCCACCTAATCCAAGGCTACAAACCCTACCCTTACCCTGTAGTTCCTAGGTCCTGTGTCACTGACTGCATGCATTTAAAGACACTTGTGAAGAGTCACTTGATATGGCTGAATTTTCTTGCTTTTGTATAGTTTAGGTGTTTTATTTCTCCCCCTTTTTAGTAGTTTTGTTTTTAAGAACAAAAACAGTCCATGTGATTTTGCTACATTAGCTTTTAGCCATAGAGTATCAGAGTAACTTGCCAATGAGGGAGAACTCGGCATACCCTAACACTGTCTTGAAGCCAACAAGTCTTATCACATTTAGGTCTAATTAGGGACACTTTAATTCACAGATGGTTGACCTGCTAATGTGATTTGTCGGCACTGGTACCTAGGGGTGTGTGCTGACTGATTATCAACTCAATTTTGCTGAAAGGCATTTATTATGAAGGTGCAATACTAGCTTTTCTAAGTGAGATAATGAGCATTTCCATTTGCTATCCCAATAGTAGAAATGATTATAGTCCATTTGTACATAAAAATATTTTCCCTAAAAAACAACAACAACAACCCTCCAGATTAAATGTTACCAAGCATGTAAATCATCTCTGGTAGGAACTAAGTTTTTTTCTTCCTAATTTTTGGTCATAAAAATTGCAGATGAAATTAGCCCCTCTCCCCTTTTTTGCTAAAATATGCTTGTGCCTATCCTGAAGCAAATCGCAAGGTCTTAGTCTCAAGCCTCTGACAATCAGAGTTTGTAAGGGGAATGCCAGCTCAGAGTATGACCCAAAATACAGAGGCACAAGCTCGTGGTGCAGTAACATAATTATTAAGAAATAAGGGGACTTTCAGTTGGCCCTCTTATATGTTGACACGCATCACCATCACCTCTCCTAGAAACCCAGTAATTTCACACGCCTTCATAATACCTGATGATTACATTCCTCAAATAGTTATCTCAATGAACTCTGGGCCAACTCCAAGTTTAAAAATGCTAAGTTTGCTTAGCCTATTATAGTTAGGTTCTTCTACTTTGTTTAAAAAACAAAAACAACAAAAAGCTAAATAGCTGTTTGCCTTTGTGACATGTACAGATTTAAAACATAACAAAATGGGGATGAGGTATTTGCTGGCATAATCAGGAAAAAAAAACACCTTGAAAATCAACTCTTTTTGATACTGTCCATGCTAAGGAGCCAGAGAATACTTATATAAATAGACTAGTTTACAAAGCAAAAACAATCTTAAGTGATTGAATTTTCCCTTATGTCCCTTGAAATGTCCCAACTACCTGCCTACGTCCAGGTCACACACATACTACTTTTTTTGGTGGCATGTCTCTAGAAACTAGAAAAGAATTCTGACTCCTAACTCCTCATGGGATACAATTCAGTGGCCTGCAAAATAACAGAAGAGAGGTTTCCTGACTCTTGACCAACTAGGCTCGCACACATTGTTAGAAGTCAGCTAAGGGCTTTAGGCTGACTCCACCCACAGTGAGTTCTACTGTTTTGCCCGAAGTTAGTGCCATCCAAATGGTCAAGATGGCTGTACAGGAACCATTTCTGCAGGCCTTCACAGTAATCCTCAAAAGAAAGGTATTTCATAGAACTGCATGAAAATATAAATGAAGAGGAGAAAAAAGTAAAAGAGTTAGAGTTAATATCGTCCACATGATTTGTTCTGTGACCTTGAGCATCTATCACAATGCCAGCTGCCAGTCCTGACTTGCTCACACTCATCTCCCTATCTCATCCTTCTCTGATTGGGTTTATTTCTCTTAGTCTACAAAAAAGTTCAAAGTTGGCTAATGGGGATCTATGTACTTTGAAGATGATCTTAAAAGAAAAGGTACTGAGTGTCCCAAAAGTCTTAGTGCAGTTTGAAGCTTTAATAACTACCTATTGAACTCAATAGCTAGCTAGTAGGTTTCTAACATTAGCCGATTAGAATAAAGTAATGATTGGGGCCACAAAATACAGTTATTTATCTACTTAGAAGCTGGGTTAATTCCAGGCAATTCTCCTTGTGTGTTACTGGCATCTCATCTGCAATAGTGCATCGCACACCTGGCACACAGTAGGCCCTGTAGAGATAGTTGATGGTTTTTATCTCTACATCTAGTACAGTATCTTGCACAATGTTGGCTCTGAGTATGTTTGTGTCTTGCTTAAGAGGCTGAAGAAATGGAATCTATATGCTGACATTCTTCTGTGGATTATAGTTATGATGGTGGGAATGCTCAAGTTAAGATTTGGGGCATAAAGGAAAAAAGTGTTCTTAGCAAATGAGCTCTCCCATGCATTAGAACTCAAGTCCTTCAAGAGTGCTAGTCACCTCCTAGTTAGTTATTGTTATAATGACAATATCTGCATGAAAACAGATTCCAAGGTTTGGAATGATGGTCAAGTAATAGAGGTTACAGATTCAAATGGCAAGACTCAAACTATCTGTTTGACTAAGAAACTTCTGCTATAGTGAATACTGTCCTGTTCATCCTTTTCCATATGAAAGATTATCAATGAATGAGCATTTGCTACAATTGCTATAATTTGATTTGACCTGTATGCCTAGAAAGTTGAATCTTCAATGCTGCAGTATCTCAACAATGACCTGGAAGCTCTACAGATGATCATTAAAACTTAGCCAGTGCTAGTGGATACCTGGTGGAAAATCACATCCTGATATCTGACTATGCAGTGAAGTGAGTGAATCAAATTGAAGCCAAATCACTTCTGGGCCATGAGGAAAAGAGACCTTGGGGAAAGCCAGTCTTCTGTGATGATAAAAGGTTTGGTTTTTTTTTTAAACTAAAGCACAAATACTAAGATCAGAGTGAATATTAATAAAATCAATACAACCAAAGGCAATTCCATAAACAATTTGCTTCAATACTTGTTTTGCATCTTCCTATGACAGTTGCGCTTTCTGCCTATAAATAAGAAAAAAGTACTTGAGTCACAAACAACCTGCTACTTGTGATACACATCAAAAACCACATGAGATCCCTTGTACTTGCTGTTCCTAGTCTAGTCACAAACAACACACAAGGGAGAGTGAAGCGAAACTTGTTTGCTGGAACTTTTCTTCTTTGGAAGGAACTGTGATTTTATAGCACAAAGTCATCCTGTGAAGTTCAGACGATCATTGACACAGCTATTTTGAGTTAGCCTAAACATTTTCTTTGAGCTGACTCAGTTTCTAATGTACTTTAATTTGAAGATTTGCTGAGGGCACTAGCAGAACGACGAAGTTTCCCAGAGCTTTTGAGTTTGGGGGCACGGGTTAGTGATGGAGACGTCTGACAGGCCAACTCCCCTCCAACAGAAACAGGAAGGTCAGCACTCACACTGGTAGTGAGACTATCTGCAAAGGAAGCAGAGAAAGGATAAAGGAAAGCAGAGTTAAAGCCTTCTTTTCCCCAATAGTCCAAATGAAGAAAGGTTGGGTTGATGGGAGAGGGGACTGTAAGCTCAGCTGAGCGGTAGGGCGGCTTTAGATAACTTCTCATTCAAATATGCGCCAAGCACATTCAGTATTTTTTTTACCCTAGATCTTTGTAAAAATGTGTGGCAGGTATATGCAGTGGAAACCCCACCAAGAGGACACCAGTTCAAATCCAATTTGCTACTTCTGTGACACCAGGCAATGTAACTTGGAATCTCTGTGCCTCAGTTTCCTCATCTACCAAATGAGGATATTAGATTAGATGATTTCTAAAGCCCCATTCCAGCTCTAAATTCCATGCTGCCCAATGGGGATGTTTTACCCACAAGCCAAACTAGAGAATACAACGACTTCCTAAAAGGCAGTAACCCCAGAATTTCACATTTTATTGGTACTCCAAAGAGTCTCTAGAAACATTATGTAAAGCTTAGTGAACCCCTGATAGTGCCAATGGCATCTACAAATATTTACACATTGATATCTGACACATTTAAGTTACAACTCAATTATTTCCCCAAGGTGGCTACGACTAGAGGTCAGAATTCAATAGCAGGTTTGAACCAGAATACAAGTGGATGTAGCCATCTACTTCTGGAAAAAATGAATAAACTTAAAACCTGCCCATGTGCAGCTCTCAGCTTCTCCCAGGGCACCTCTAATCACACACAGAGGAATACAAGAATGTCTCCTGCAAGAGAGGGAGGTTGTTGCTGCTGCAGGCCAGCCTTCCCCAGGACAATTCAGTCAGCAAGAAGGCCATTTCATCAGCCTCACTTCTGTTACAGCCCAGGTTTCCCCATAAGGAAACCATTCAAGAGCTATACTTCTATGGTCTTATTAACATGGCTTCTCTTCAAGGGTTTGCTTTTCAACAGTTAGTGTTTCAGATTCATTTGATTCAGGCTGTATCATAGGGGTTATTTCATGCATAGTTTGTATGTTTCCATTGATCTGGCTTGAGACTGCCACTATGCAGTCTCAAAATCAGTTCTTCCAACAATTCCAAAAGCACACAAAACACTGGTAGCAACTTCCTTGGTGTGTACTGAAAAATCAATATCTTAAAGGGTTATAACCTCAGAGAGACCTGTGTTTTCTCTTATTTCTTCCGGGCCAAACTCAGACATTCAGTAAAGTTGGGTAAAGCACATAGAATGAGAGCTGTTTCCCTCCCACTAGTTTTGTCTTTAAAATCAGGCTGCCTATGACAAAGACAGGGAGCCATACTTTGTCATAGTAGGACAAAGAAGGATCATTAAAATGCATCTCCCCATCAAATGAGCATGCTAATGAAACGTACTAGCATTTAACTAAAAAAACAAAACAAAAAACAACTGTGCTATGACTCAGTTGCTATTTCCAGGCAATTTTCCATCTTGAAATACTTAATACTTAACAAGCAATTGTATGAGCGACTTCACATTACAAACTAGAATTATTTTTCACTTACCAGATGTATATTTTAGAGACAGGATATAGGTAGGGAAAGAAAAAGGAAAAATATTCTCTTGCAAATAAATGTAAAATATGTGTTGGTGTTTAAAGAAGTTAGCTGTGAAAAAGTAGACCTTTGTTAGTTCTGGATTAGGAGGAGAAACATTCTGATTTTTTTCCCCAGGGAGAAAGCAGGAGGGTAGCTTGCGTTCCTACAGCTAAGCAGAATGGCAGATGGTCAAAATAATACAAATTTTGCCAACTGGGCAAGCTCAAGCAATATTCATGCAAGCTCTTTAACAATAGGACTCCTGTGCTTATGAGAAGCTGTACAGTTCAAACAGGCAAAAGCGTGTCCGTAAAAAGGCTAAGCCACACCTCAGCACCCAGAATCACCCACAGCATTCCATAAGCCTTTAGAGTTTGGACATTCCATCAGTCAAAAACTTTCTTCTGGCAAGTCCTTAACTATGCAATCAACCTTGAAGCTCCCACTAAATTGTCTTGATTGATAGGGAGACAGCAGCTGCAGAATGAGCAAGCAATAACCACAAAAGATAAAGGCTTTCATACAAATATTATAATTCCACTTGCAAGCTGTCTGGCATGAACTCTAACGACTTGGCCATTTTCTTGCAAGAGAAGCTTGGAACTCTATTCAGATAACATACTTGAGCCCACTTCATGACTCTGGTCAAAGAAAATGGGAGTACATACACATACATGTGGACAAATAAGTAATTCTGCATGAAACTTACAACATCTGAAGGAGAGTTTTAAAATCTGGTTTTAGGATTACAAACTTGATGCTCTAAAATTTATGGCCCATTCCTCCTCTCAGTGGCCAACTTGCAAGTACTATTTAGGGCAATTTAAAAAATCTGCGTTTAATCCAGCACTAAGAAAAGAACTTTCAGTTCTGAAATGGGGTCAGCTTTCTACAGTAAATTTCTGCTCTTCTGAGCTACTCTGATTTAAAAGATCAATGTTAGTGGTGCCCTCAACAAACCAACATACTAAGCTGAACTGTCATCCCAAATGATTATGCGATCTGATGGACACAAATGGATTGATTCTGTCCTATTTTAGAACACGCTACGATATGGTTAATAAAGAGCCATCCATCAATCTACTAATTTTCTCCTTGGAAAGGTGGCTTTATTTTTTTAAATTTTAAGGGCTTCATCCATCTGGGAATCGGATCTCAAGGAGTTAATTCAGTACAGCAGCCCCCTCTGCCTAAACCCAGCCTACCAGAGAATGTATCCAGCCAGGATGCTGCTTCCATTCGATCAGTACTTTGGAAACTGCCCAGACAAACAAGCAGAACCGAGAAGCTTGCAAAGGTCACACCTGGCGTGTGGCCGGCCTGCTCTCTGGGTCCTAAACCGCACCCCCAATCTCCAGGTTCATGGCACTCTGTGCTTCCCTGCCTTTGTTTCCTTTTCCTCCCCCAGCTGTTCCATTCAGCAGCCCAAGCTCGGCAATCTGCCCTCCCCAGAAAGAGAGGCATTTATTAAGCTGAGCTAACTCAAAGGGCCAGCACAGCACGTGCCGCTTCTTATCGGGCCCCATCTCAAGATCCTATTCCATGGTGCTTAGGCAACAAAAAAAGTAAATGGACTTAACTCCCATTGGCTCCCCTGCAGCAATTCAAACAAAAGTGGAAGCAACAAAGACATTTTCCAGTATGGCAGGTGTTGGTGTCAGATTCCGCCTGAAGCAAACAGGAGCAGAAGAAAGACAAAGTATGCGTTTTCCGTTGAGGCTCAGACATGCAGGGACAGGGCGAGCCTGTCAGAGAGCAGCCAGGCAGCAGGGCTGTTAGTGCCGCTACTTAGTCAGGTGGGAATTGTCTGGGCTACTTGTTTCCAGCCTGGTGCTTGGAATGCACATTTTGGAAGGGAGGATGAAAGGCAGTGAAAAAGGGAGAGGGCCAGAAAAAGAGAAGGATGGCCATATTTCAGCTTACTACACGAGCAACCAAGGAGACTGGTTAGTAGATCTGCTGAAAAGACAGTTAGCACCGTGCACTGAGCAAACCTGCGGCAGGGTCAGGCTTACCTTGGTCAGCTATGGTATTGAGACCTTTACATATTCTAATCTAAAGGGAAAGAACACAAAGTCACATGAGTAGCGGTACAGCATACCTCAACCTTCTGTGAAGATTGTACATTGCTAACGAGCATTAACTCGCTCTCGAGTCATCTTGGGACTTCACCGCAAGTTGTGCCATCAAACTAGCATGATAAAATACCTCCTCTGTATCATACATATCGTAAAGAAACAGGACATTAAACCCCCCCCCACATTTTCCATGTCTAATGGTGAACCACCAGCCTAAACTAAGCTTACATTCACATTTGAAAGCTTTTGCTTAGACCCCAAGCTACCATATGAAAAAAGCCCCAGCCCAATGTCCTCATGTATACTGTGTCTAGAGTGAATCAAAAGGCATAGTTTACAGTTAAGAACTTCTCAACTTCGAAGGTGGCCTGAAAAGGTAATCAGTTACTATAATGCATTCAAGGACACAATTCTAAAGCAGCTTTTATATGGTATACAGCACACAGTATCTTTATACAGCTTTTACCACCCAATGTCACACTACCTTGGACTAAAGGGAATAGCTAGGCTGATAACCAGTATCCATCATACCACATAGGAACAAGGAGAAAGGACATTTGGAAGAAGAACGCCAAAGGCAAAGCTATTCTCTGATGAAAAGAGCAACAAGATTATTTGTGACCAGGCAGCAAAGAGAAGGCTTTGTATCACTTTAACATTTTTCTGCTAAGTTTTTATTCTTTTCCCACCAGTTCCAACCTATCCCTTGTACACTCTTCTTAGCAGGCACATTATCTTTCTGAAGCAGGCAGTGGTTTTCCCCCCTTTTTCTGTATTCAATGTCATTAGACTACAATCAAATCTGGACAAAGGACATTTATCAATGATGTGTGCCATTGTCTGCATTTGGCCACAGTTGTAAACTTGGATTTTCCTGCTGACCCCATCTGTAAAGGTTGGCACAGTGATCAGGTCAGTTTCAAACATTGAAAAGATCCCTCTATATGCAGCACTATTGTGATTTTAAGGATAAGATTCCCATAAACAAATGTAAGGTTATACATTCCAAATGTATAATTGTATATAATGATAAAAATGCAGTTATACAGTCTAAAATATTAGTAAAAAAAACATTGTCCGGCCAGAATGAAGCTGGTGGGCAACAGGGACAGCAAGCTGTACCACTGGAGGTTTATTTCAAATATAAAAGTGCCATTGTTGTGGCTCAAAGAGAAGACCCCTTAGGACTTGGTGATAATATTGCTCCTTCCAAAGCAATCGTTAACGGATACAATGAAATTTAACATCTCTGGATTTCAGGCCTATTTTTGGTAGTAGTAAATGTATCCCATAACAATAACAATACTATACAGTGCTTTAAGAATTGCAAAGCACTCAATTCTCACGATGACTCTATC